CATAAAATCACTATAATTTGGTTATTCATAACTAGATTATTTGTGTTATTGAGAGATCTGGAATCAACAATATAGCTTGTTAGATGGTTTAATTTTGTTTTAACAACTATTTGTAATACCCATGATTTTAGTCCTATAAAATTAAGGGTCCTATTAAATAGTTTTTAGGACAATAATAGACGTCTAAATAAGTGACTTATGTTCTAGTGTCTTAAACTAAATTTTTTTAACATAAATATACATAAATTTTAAAACTGAAGTAACTTTTTTAATTATAAAAACTTAATAAAATGGGTTAGTAGCATGCAGTATAATCTTAAGGTAAAACTATTGTTGAAAGTCTTCAGCTATCGCTGACAGCTTATCACTGACAACCTTCAACTAATCTGACAGCTTATTGCTAACAGCCTTCAGCTTGTGTTTTCAACTTATTGTGACAGCTTTCAGCTATCACTGAAGAGGTAGCTTTCAGCTTACACTGAAGAGGTAGCTTTCAACTAGTGTGTGTGTGTGTATATATATATATATATATATATATATATGGGCCTAATCAAGTGAGAATTGATTAGTATGTGGTAACTGTGAGGTCTTATCTCAATCACAAATCAACAGATAAATTAGAAAATTAATAATTATGGTAGTTTGAGTTAAAATTATAATTGGAGGGCATATTAGGTATTTTTTTTAAACTCCTCTCTCCTCTCTCATCTTTCCGACCTCCAATCTCCGGCCTCCGGTGAAATCGGTATCACAGTATATCACAACGATTATCACATTGTGTATTACAATGGGTATCACATTGTGTATTACAATGGGTATCACATTGTGTATTACAATAAGTATCACATTGTGTATCTTTGTTTTTAAKKTTTGAGTTGGTATCACAATTGTATCACAGTATATCACAATGGGTATCACATTGTGTATCTTTGTGATTACTTGGTACCTGCCGGATTAATGTTCACCGGAGGCCGGAAATTGGAGGTCGGAGAGATATGAGAGGAGAGATGAGAGAGGAGTTTTTTAAAAATACCTAAAATGCCTTCTAATTATAATTTTAACTCAAACTACCATAATTATTAATTTCCTAATTTATCCGTTGATTTGTGGTTGAGATTGGATCTCACAGTTACCACAAACTAATCAGTTCTCCCTTGAATGACCCCCTATATATATTAATTAAATGAGAAATCAAATATAATGTGGTGTTTTCCTCTAAACATTAGAAGTCTATCTTTCTTTTTTCTTAGATTTTTGATTTTTTAAAATATTTGATATGTAAAAGACTTTCCATTCCTTTTTTTAGAACATGAAATTCATTATAATAGGTTGTTTTGGTAATTTTAAGTAGTTTAACCTCCAACATTTTCATCTTCATTCTTGAAGATGAAACCTCTAAACCATTTCATGTGCTTCTTCATGATTTGTCAATGTTTTTATATTAAATAAGTTATAGACTATTCTACCACTGAATTATAAATATGTATTTCATTATAAGAAGGCTTCTTTGACAACTTCCAACTTAATTAACTTTAACTTTCACATTACATAACTTCCTAGAAATATTCATTATACTATTTTTATCTACTAATTAAAATAAAGTTACAATAAATGATGTAGCACATTGTCACAAGATGATTTTAAAAAAAGATTTTCTCATTGTTTTGAATTTATGAAATGTTAAATAAATTAAATATTTTTTTACCCGTGAATAAAAAATGTATATATTTCATTATTTCTCCAAAAATGAAAACAAAATTTTCCAAGCTAGAGATGTCCTTAATTGAGCATTTGGCATTATTATTTTATATAAATCTAAAAGTAAAATATAAAGTTTCTCATGTGACACTTTTGAAGAAGTTATTTCATAATTCTTTTTTTTTTCTTTCAAATTTTTAGATTTTTTTAGATTTATTTTGTTGGTTAGGTTTTTATATATAAAAGTAAGATCCACAAGAAATGATATGACACCCAAAGAATTGAGTATTCTATATTTCTTGCATAAAGGTTGAGTTTTGTGTATCCTATATTGATGGAGAGATGAAAGATTGACAATTGATGATAGATATATGAGATGAGGTTGATGTGTCTTTGTTTTAACTCGTGAGGTTGAATTCTCTTGGCTAATCTTATAAACTCATATCATTAGCTCATGTTGACTAACCCTATAAACTCATGGGGTTGGTTCATTTTGGCCAACCCTATGTTTGAAAAAATGTCATCTTTATAAAAAACTCTTATATATATATATATATATACAGGGCTCTCTCTATATATAAGTAAGATTCACAAGAAATTATGTATTAGCCTAAGAATAAAGTATTATGTATTTCTTGCATTGAGGTTGAGTTTGTGTATCTCACATTGATGGAAAGATGAAAGATCAACAATTGATGGTTGGTATATAAGAGTAGGTTGAGGTGTTTTTATTTTAACTCATGGGGTTGGGTTCTCTTGGTTAATCTTATAAACTCATATCACTGTTCATGTTGGCTAATTCTCTAAACTCATGGGGTTTGTTCATTTTGACGAACCCTCTATTTATAAAAAGGTTGTCTATATACAAAAATCAATATATCAATACAAAATAAAGCTTGAAAATAATGAGGTGACATCATTAAAACCAAATATTTTAAAAATCTTGCATTGTGGTTGGATTTTGGGTGTCCATACTAATTAGAAAATTGATACGTCAATAAGGAAAATGACTATATAAGAGAAATATAAGTTCCCTTTGAAAATTAAAAGGTTTATTTGGGTATATAAGCCATGTTTATCTTTAAATGTTTAGAATAATGGTTATTTTTTTGTATCAATATCCATCATAAATCTTCTTTATATATAAAAGTATTGATGTGACATCCTAAGAATCGAGTATTCTTCCTTCTTGAATTGTTATTCAATTTTGTCTAACCTACATTGATAGATAAATGAAATATTAACGATGAATGGTGGGCATATAACAAGATGTTGAGATACCTTTGTGGCAAGTCATGAGGTTGGCTTCTCTCGAGCAGTTGTCTAAACTCACGTGGTTGGATCATTTTGACCGAACTTCCAAACATATGTGATTGACTCATTTTGGCCAACCCTTTTTTTGTGAAAAAATTAATCTATACTAAATATTAATTGAAAAGATAATTTTAATACGTTTTTGAAAGTAAGAAGTGGAACCGTTCATGCGGCACCCTAATAATTGAATATTCTTCAATATAGAATTATGATTGAGTTTTATATATCCCACACTGATTGAGTGTTGAAAGATTGACAAAAATGTTGAATATGTAAAATGAGGTCGAGATGCCTTTGTGACAACTCATGAGGTTCGTTCCTCTTGGTTGATTCTCTTAATAACTGTGGTTAGAGCATTTTGACCGACCCTCCGAACACATGAGGTTGGTTCATTTTGGCCAACTCCCTTTTTGCAAGAAAGATTAACTGATATTAAAAATTAATTATATATATAATCTTTATTCTTTTAATATTTAAAAGTAAGAACCACAACCATCATGTGACACTCAAAGATTAAGTATTCTTTAATCTTGAATTATGATTGAGTTTTGTCTATCCCATATTGATAGATAGACAAAAGATTGAAACTGAATTATAGATATATAAAGGGAGATTGAGATGTCTCTATGGCAATTCATAGGGCTGACTCTTCTTGAATGATTATGTAAACTCAGGGTACTTAACTTATTTGGCTGACCCTCCTAACATAAGATTTTTAGCTGATCCTTTTTTTACAAAAAAAATCTATATTAAAAGTTAAATAAATAAATAAATAAAATTAATATATAATACTATAAGATTTTGATGAGATAAATTAGAATTTAATATTTTCAAATAATGAATTATGGTTGAATTTAGCATTAATCTTAATCAATATTAATGAGAAAAGAAATTACTGAAAAACAGTTATGTATATCAAAAACAAGAAGAGATGCCTTGAAATATTAGAAAGGTTACAAATGCACTATGAAAATTTAGTATTTTCAATTTTGAAGTACAAGGATATTGATGTGGTTTACAATTTTTTGTATATTACTTGACATGTATTATGATCACCGTGTAACATATGGTGCCAAACACTGATTTAATGTAATAATTGGTGACTATTTTTAATGGCTTTAATTTGTATAAGATTATATCCAACATAATTCCCAAAATACCTTTTTTGAGTTTTCTTTTCTTAATCAATAGAACATCTTCGAGATAAGAGAAGAGAAAAAGGTTTTCCAAGACAATAATCTCCAAATTTATAGAGAAAAAAAATTATTTTACAGATTTCAACTTTTAATTATATTATTTTATAAAATTTGTTGAAGATGTTATTAGAAAAAAATGTTTAAAATTTTGTTAGACTAAATTTATTAAATTTTATAATAATATAATTAATGATGAAAGATTAAGTAACGACGTCATCAATGAGTTGGAAATACTTTTATTTATATATTATTTTTGGGGCGACGGAACATATAAAAAAGTTATGTTAAAAAACGTAAAAAAAAATCTAAAATCTAAATTATTTTTAATCTTGATGTACCTCATAAATATTAACATTTAATTGAAATTGTTTTAAGAATGAATATCTTTTCTTACCTTTTTCATCGTTTTACTCATCAAAATCCAAAACCTTCTTTTTAGAGCAAAATAATAACCCACCTAAAACCATTTGATGTAGTATTTGATATTAAAATTAACATGGTCTAAGTCTTACCCAAGTCAACGAGGGTCAGGATCAACAACCCGTCAAACACTCCCAAAACGCATTCATTCAGGGCCATTTTGGTAATTTCCAAGACATATGCCCCAATTCCAACGCATCGATCCGACCGAACCCCTTTCAATAACAACAAAACTCCTCCGAAGGTTATTTTTGGTAATTTCATATAATGGGAAGAGTGGACCCCACCCCTAGCCCTGGTTTTAAGATGGTCCGCCTCTTTCCTAATCCTCTCCACAAGACAATTCTCATCCACTTAGCTTTAGGCGTAAAGAAAAAAGAAAAGGAAAAAAAAGGAGGTCTTCTGCTATCGTGTGCCATCAAATCCCGGCGACTGTATGAGCGGATCTGGTGGAAACAACGGCGTTGCAACTATGGCCGGTGGAGCAGCCGAACAGCAGTACGCTAAGGCGAAGATATCAGTGTGGTGGGACATAGAGAACTGTCAGGTACCAAAAGGTTGTGAACCTCATTCGATCGCTCAGAATATAAGTTCTGCTTTGGTTGATATGAATTACTGTGGGCCAGTATCGATTTCTGCCTACGGCGACACCAATCGGATCCCGGCCTCCGTCCAGCAAGGTCTCAACAGTACCGGCATCGCCTTGAATCATGTGCCCGCTGGTATATACATATAATTTTACATCTATCGCACCATATATGGTATAAGTATATAAAAGCAGAGTCTTTTTTGATGTTGAACTGAAAGCGATGATTGTGCTTTTTGTGCTTTGAGTGATAGATTTTGGCAAAAACCGAATCCATAAACCCTAAAGCGACGTATTTATAGATCTGTTTATACAAATACATACATACTTCATTTGATTGTTTCTTAGGTACCTTATATATGTTACTGTGAGGGAAAAATGGTTTGTTAGTGACATTTCTAACTTGAGTGTTGGACTGAACGGATCATGGTGAGTTGAGCTTATGGGCCCTAGAGACTGAATATTCATTTTAGATCAAGGTTGGACCTCTGGATTCAGCTTGGCCAAGGCTCTTTTGATTTATTTTGACAATTTGTAGATACATCTTTCAGTCCGTGTTGATGTCTGTACTAGTATCTATCATCTAAATCTGCACAAGCAAATTTTTTGACAAATATTTTGCTTCTAAATTAAAGATTTCATTGAAAGCAACACTGATCATAAAACAACATAGAAATTCAATGTATGGGTGTCTTGGGTCGAAATTAGGTGATACTGTGCAGTAGAGGAGCTACACTACTAAGATAATGATAATAAACCTTTTGGTTGAGCCTTGGTTATCACTCGTGTCTATTTCTCTCCATTATATCTTTTTTAGTATGGTACCTTTTATTTTCTCTTCCCAATCTTTCTATGTGCTTGTCTCTGTTCTTACGTAATTCCTTTTACCGACTAATATGGTACTTTCCGTTTCTTCTTTATTTCTTTCCCCAACTTTTCTATGTAAGCTCGACTCTGTTCTTACATAGTTTCTCTTACTGACTAGTATGGTTCCAATGTGTATATGATAAAACTCTGTATTCTTGTGATTAGGTGTTAAAGATGCAAGTGACAAGAAAATTTTGGTGGACATGTTATTTTGGGCTGTTGATAACCCTGCCCCGGGAAATTATCTGTTGATATCTGGTGATCGGGATTTCTCAAATGCTCTGCATCAATTGAGGATGAGGAAATATAATATTCTTCTAGCACAACCTCAGAAAGCATCCCCATCTCTCCTTGCAGCTGCAAAGAGTGTATGGCTATGGACTAGTCTTTTGGCTGGAGGACCACCAATAACAAATGGTGAATCACCTCAAGCAGTTGATAATAGCTATGGCCATACATTCAGTGCTAATCCAGTACATATTCCAGTTTCTGAACCAGTTCAGATACATCAACCTTTAGATAACATGTATGGGAATCCCCATCCAGGATTGCAGAAATTCTCAAGCATAGGAAGAGCAAATGATTCTAAACCGAAGGGGAAGCTAATAAGGAAAAATTTGAGTCAACCAATTATAAGAACTTCAAGTCCACCCATCGGGATTCTAGAAAATCAGATTAATTTAAACTCTCATCAACCAGGTTATATGCAACCTAGTCAATTCAAGGACTCCCAAGAGCAATCTTATTCTCGTATTCCTAATGTTTCTTCAAGTGGATCAAACCCAAATCACATTCCTGTTGGCCCTGATTATTCGTGGAATACCAGCAATAATGGCACTAGCTACCAAGGCCATCATCCACAGTCAGTAAGGCCCGGTAATCCTCCAGGAAACCCCACACTTGCTCCAGGAAATTACTTTCCACCTAATCCGCATCTTCGCCCTCCTCATTTTATGCCTCTCAGGCCTGATGGATACAGCACTACGTCTGCTTCCCTGACATTTGTTCCTGATATTGGTAAGCTTAACTTTTCTGATAGCTCTGGCAGAGAACACAATCCTCCAATGAATCAACCACAGGGTGGACAGCTGAAACCAAATTCCATTGATTCTGCAAATCATGCATACGCAAACGGTCCACAAAAAGGATATAGTATGCCCAATAAGTCTCCGTTTTACAAGGATACTCTGAACAAATATCCAGCTACTGGTCCAGATTTCCTACCTTCATCTTCCTCAGCATTGGACACAACAAGTACTGCTGCTACTGGTTGTGGTGTGTGGGGCACACCAGGATGCCCAAAACCTTCAGAATATGTCCAAGGCCTTATAGGGGTGATTTTACTTGCCTTGAGCACACTGAAAAATGAAAAGATTATGCCTACTGAAGCAAACATAATTAATTGCATTCGTTATGGGAATCCCAAACAACGCAATATTGATGTTAAAAAGGCCCTAGAGAGTGCTGTCAAGCAGCAGCTGGTAGTGAAACAGAATCTAGGTACATTACCATTTTTTGTTGGTAAGAATGAGAAATTATGGAAGTGTGTGAACCCTATCGGTAATAATATTAAAGATCACTCAAAAGCAACATGGGATGAACTCCAAATTTTTTTATCAACTCCTACTGGACGTTCTGCAATAGCTGGTTCTCAATGCAGGTAACATTTGCTTCCACATGAAGTTAATGACTTATGTTTGAGCATTATCTGACAGGTGATTATTTATGTTTTGCTTAGATATGAGGCAGCGACTATTATAAAGAATAGATGCTTAAAAGATGCTGCATTGGGTGACATACTTCAGATTTTGAACTTGGCAATCAGTGGAAAGAAGTGGATCATACATCATCCATCAGGATGGCAACCAGTTAGTATTGCTCTTCCGGAGAGCAACCCAGAATCAGTTTGGTAGCTGCCACTTGAAAATCTACTGGTCTGTGGTCAGTGAAAGGCCTGTTGGTAGTTTTTGGTTAGAGAACATCACTTAGTTTCTTGACAATTGGCAACATTCTCCTAGAGGCCTCGTTAAACCGATGAGGATAAGTAGGTTGGCATCGATAGAAAATTTACTGGCCTATCTTAGGCCACTAGATGCATTGGGGTGCCCAACTGTCTGTTTATTTTTTTATGTTTTATTTGGTCACTTGTCAGTAATTTTAGAAGTATGGTTTTGGTAGATAGAGGTCAAACATGATAGAATGAACTTTCTTTAGGTTGTAGAGAAACAATTGTGTTAAAGGTCTGCTGGGGATTGTCAGGTACTGGATTGACTTGGTTGTTTACTGTCTCTATTTTCCAAGCCATCTGTATCCTTGGACAGCTGGACATATATACCCTCCCACCAATCAAACCCTTTGGAGAACAGTATTGGAAGATCTTGCTTGCTGATGTAACATCCGTCATATACATCTCAGAATGGATCGACGTGTTTATTTCTGTTTTGACAAGAGACTGCTTGTCATATGCTTCATTGGATTTTCGTTACACTCATAGTTGAGAGTTGTTGGATAAGCACATGAAGATGGGTTTTATAGAAATCTGCTAGATGACATTTTTTGCACCTGTATAGAGATTGGATGGAAGATTGGCTTTTTTGGTACACAAATCACAGTACCATTGTGACATGCAGAAGAAAGAATCAGTCAATTTTGCATGACGGATTATTTGAAAATGTTATGTTCTGAAGATGATCAGATTTGATCAGTAGCGAATTACAGTTGCAAAGTACTTTTCATCAAATGAACACACAACGCATGCAGGCAGATGTATGTTTTTGAAGCAGTTGCACATTAAGGTATGATGGTCAAATTTTATGAAATGAATATAGTTTAAGATCTGCTAATGTTCATGAAGGCGGTAGCTACCCTGAAACTCTTACTTTTTGTTATCAAAAGTAATCCCTCCTATTTGTATATGTGTCATTTCTATTTTCTAGCATGGTGTAAACATTTTACTTTCTGGGAATAATCTTGCTCTTTGTATTAAATGAATATGAAATGCTTATCATGTTAATTATGCTTTGACTAGATTTAGCCACATTTCTGATTCCATCTTTTTTTTTCTTTTGACAAATCCAAATATGCATGAAGAAGAAACGCTAGTCTTATCGTGAATGATTAGGAAGCAATGGTAGATGCTTATAGGGTAGAGAGTTGAATATATGGCAAGATTATGCGTAACAAAAGGCTAGACCTAGTCATTACCACCATGAATCCAAGTCCAAAAGAAAGACAAGTTGGGAAGCATATATGGTAGGTAAGGGATGAACTATAGGCTTTTGAACCATGTCTAAGGGGTCGTTTACCAAGCGCTTACCTGACAAGAGTCATCACTTTTAGGGGCCGTTTACCAAACACTTACCCGTAAAATTTAACACTATTATTTACTTATCGGGTAAAAATTTAGTCCATCAAAACATCGTATGCAACAATTTACCCGGTAAGTGCTTACTGGGGTAAGAGTCGTCGCTCTCACTTACCGGGTAAGACTCTTGGTCATTTGTTTCGCTTTTACCGGGTAAGATTCTTGGTTCTTACCATATTCATCCGGTGAGGTAACGTGACTTGATAAGCACTTACCCGAATAACCGTTTGGTAAACGGCACCTTACTTATCTTATGGGTAACATTCTCAGCCATTAAAAATGATTGTTTGTAACGTCTTTTATCCGGTAAGCGCTTACCAGGTAAGTCTTCTCCCCACTTACCGGGTGACCATGTTGACCTTGTCATGGTCACCTGATAACATAAGTAACATCCGGTAAGGGCTTACCTGGTCAGCCTTTGGAAAACGGCCCATAAGTTAATCTTGTGTCTAATGGGTATAGCATAAGGAGAACATACATAATCTTTAATCTTCCCTGGAATGGTCCATGCCCCTTCTTTGGTCTGTAATTTGTGTTAAACATAGGTCTTCTGCTTGGTTGGCTAGAAATGGAAGTGACTAAGTTAGTTTTTGTATGGTAAATAGTGGGTTGTCAGTAGTGGATGGTGAGAGTTGTATCTAAAACCATCTGTTTCTTTTGGTTCATCTGTATATGATGGTATGTAGGGTCCTTTTTCTTATCTGTTTTCTTCATTAACAAGGGTATCATCATGAATATGAAGGATTGTTTCCAACAAGATGAATGACTTGAAACCTTTTTCTACTTGGGATTCATATGCAAGATTCATCGTGGTTCGGTTGTCTCTATATAAGTTTAGCACATCATCATTTATGATTATGGCGTGCCAAGTACAATTTCATGGTGTAAGTCTTAACATGTTCGATCATAATACTGCTTCTTTGTATATGATGATGATTAGCGAAGGAAATCTATGTTATTGTTCCTTGAATGTTTAGTCAAATCTTTTACTTAGATTGGAAACGATTCTGTTCACAAGCTAGAGCTGCATCACAACAAGAGACCTCTTTTAACATTTAAGGTAGCTCAACTGGCAAGGTCTTCGGTTTGCTTCTTACTAATCACACATTCAAGTCCCTATAAGGTGATTAGAGGGTTTTGCCTAGCTGATAACTTCAGAGTCTTATGGGTATAGTTTAGGTGCGTGCAAGTTGACACAATACCTATGAAGGTCAATAATAGACTTTTGTTCTTGCTGAAACTAGAGATCAAGATATGTCTTATTTATTTAGTTGAGGTGTGTGCAAGCTGACTAGATAGATTATAAATGCCGATAATAGACTTTTGTCTTTGCTTATACGAGAGATCAAGATATCTCTTATGGGTTCAATTGAGGACATTAGATGTGTGCAAGCTGACTGGATGCACATGAATGTCGATCATAGGCTTTTGTCCTTGCTGACAGAAGAGATCAAAGATATGTGTTATGAATTTAGTTGAAATGTGTGCAAGTTGGCTAGATACCCATGACTCGATAATAGACTTTTGTCTTTGCTTACAGGAAAGATCAAGATATCTCTATTGGGTTTAGTTGAGGACATGAGGTGTGTGCAAGCTGATTGGATACACATGAATGTTAATAATAGACTTTTTTCCTTCTTGACCGGAGAGATCAAGATATGTATTATAGATTTAGTTTAGGTATGTGCAAGCTGGTTGGATACCAAATGTAGGCCAATAATAGACTTTTTGTTCTTGTACTTTTGTCTTTGTTGACAAGAGAGATTAAGATATGGTCTTATAAGTTTAGTTGAGGTGCATGCAAGTCAATTGGATACCTATGAATGCCAATAGTAGACTTTTAGGACCCATTTGGTTTGCAGGACTGTTTTTGAGGGGTTTGGATTTCACGAAGGGATTTGGATTTGGAGGAATTTGAAATCATTGGTTTGAAGAATTTGGAATGGAATTGGATTCCATTACTTAAAAATAATTATAAATTATTATAAACATAATTAAATTACATTTTTATTAATCGATTATTACAAAACAAATATTTTCAACATTGTTTAAAACCTTATTTCATATAATTCTAGGAAATCCCGAACACCTCCTAAGGATTTAAAAATCCTATGTTTGTAGGATTTTAATTAAATATTAGGATTGCAAATTCGGATAATCCAACAAACAAACATGAGATTGAAATTAATTTGAAATCCGAATGCCCTAAATCTATTCCATTTTTGCAAACCAAAGAGGACCTTATGGGTTGTTTGGTTTGTAGGAATTGGATGGAATCAAGAGGATTTGAATTTGAAATTCATTCCAATCCCGTGTTTGATTTGTAAGATTGTCAGGATTTGAAATACAAGCGGATTCGATAACTATGAATGCCAATAATAGACTTAGGGTGCGTTTGGTTTGCAAGATTATTTTTGAGGGATTTGGATTGGATTGAATTTAGAATCCTTTATTGCGTTTGGTTTGTAGGATATGGAATGGATTTTAAATTCATTCATTTATAAATCATGTTTGGTTTGTAGGATCTGAATTGAGATTTACTTTTTTTTTCTTTTGTAATTATTTGTTTGTTTTATAATTTTTTTTATTGATAAATTACCCTTTTGTTATCAATTTCTCCAAAACTGTATATTTAATCATCAAATCTCATTCATTTTTCTAAAACCATATATTTAATCATCAAATTCATTGTTTCAAAACTACATATTTAATTATCTAATTCATAGTTTCAAAATATATATTTAATCGTCTAATTCGTTGTTTCAAAATTACATATTTAATCATCTAATTCTTTGTTCCAAAATACCTATTTAATCATTAAACCTGTTCATCCAAAATACATATACAACCAACAAACTTGTTAATCAAAAATACACATTTAACCAACAAACCGCTCTTCCAAAACCACATATTTAGCCACCAATTTTTTTCATTCTTTCAAAACCCGATTCTCATAAGCTTCCCCATCTGCTTCTTGCAAGTCTAAAAAGATGTTCACCTTTTCAGGATCGTCTCTTATCATTGAAATTACTTTAAACTTTTCTGGTTAGGCCAATGACTGCATTTTTGAGATCTCATAAGTGAACATCGAACGTTTCCTATCAAGTTCTTCACGTTTTATACCTTTGTTAAGTTTGTTCGCCATTTCTCCAGACTTTCTGCAAGTTTAGTAACCGCATTATTGAATCTGTTAGCCATGTTATCTACTCGGCGTTTTCTCTTCTTACCAAGCCCACTTGAAGTTTCTTCAGATTGCATATATACATTGCCACCTTCAATATTGCTAGTTGTTATCACTTCACCAGACTCGTCATTCATGTGTTGTGTTTGATCTTCTATATTATATGCACCTCCTCTCCTGCCTCAACAAAATCTCTTTCTCTATTTTCTTGAGCCCGATCTTTTCCAAATACAATACAAAGATCCTCATAAAAAAGATAGGCTTTGTTCTTCCACTTTCCCGCCCCTTTATGGACCTATTTCATAATAGAATAACATAAATATACATATAACTATAATTATATATTACGCAAATTTAAATAACAAGTTTTTTTATACCTGAAGATATAACTCTCAAACTTGGTCTTTAGCAACCACATAATGCTTTGCACTATCGTATCCGAAGCCGCTAATGTATGAACCACTTATCATGTCATGCACAATAGTCCGATCATTATTTATAACTTTGATTCAATGTGTGGTTTCCCTAAAATACAGGAGTCTGACAAAGATTCTTTTAACGATTGTTCAAGATATGTTAAATAACCCGATTTAAAGCCATTATTGGCTTTAAATGCTCTTGTATTCACCATGGTAACTAAAGCTTCAACAAATTTTGTTTCTTCAATATTCGTCCATACTCGATAATTTCTAATTTGACTCTTCATACCTATAAACATAAATGAATCATTTGAAGTACAACAACATTTATTTGTTCATATCCAAACTCCATAATTTCTATTATAAACAAACATTAGAAGTATGAGTTAAACAAACATTTGAATCATAAATATTAATTGGTAGCGTTCCAAGAAGCAAACATAGATTGTGCTAAATTATCCTTAAATGCAGTCCACTCATTTGAAGTAACAACAACATTTATATTATCCATGTCTTCAACTCCAAGGTCTCCACTTCCCTTATCCACTTTACCTTCATTGCCAAGTGGATCCATTGGCATTTCTTGCATTATAAATCTATGAAGGAGACAACATGCCATGATGATCCTAACTTTAAATCAATAGGATAATACGAGTTATCTTTCAAGATTCCCCACCTTGCCTTTAACATATCGAAACATCGTTCAATAATATTTTTCGCCGATGAATGCTTCATATTGAAATGTTCTTTGGCAGTGGTTGGTTGATGTCCATCGCACCAATCATTTAAATGATATCTTTGACCTCTATAAGGATCTAAGAAACCCTCTCCATTTGTGTATCTGACATCAACCAAGTAATAATCTAATAATAAATTAAGTTAATCAACCATAAAAACTTATACTTGTTAATACATAGTAAACGATCAAAAACTATACCCGGTCTTGAAACTTTTAATCCATAAGACCTAAGAAGAGCATCTCGAAGCACTCGACCATCAGCAGCCGACCCCTCCCATTCCGGTAACACATATATAAATTGCATAT